CACCCTATCAGTAAAGTATTGAATTGGTCCCCCCGAGCATTTGGTCTCGAGTGGATAGTAGTCTCAATGACAATCGAACTTAGACTTCTTCTTTGTATATAGAAAATAATCAATGTTTGCTACAATAGTTCACCGATGTTACATTCTCATAAAATCGTCAAGAAGATACAAATCAAAGTAATACACAAACACTGAGGGAATCTCATTGACAAGTATCCTGTTATATTATTAATCGAATATTTTTAAGGATTTGTGATTCGTTAAAACTTGATCACGTGTACATTTGTATTTAATCAGTTTGCACGCCAATACTGTTGTGTATAGCTTTTCGTAGGTCAAAAACAGCATATTGCACAGGGCATACAGCATGTTACTAAAAATACATTCTAGAAATCCCCAATTTTACATTGTTTATGCAATAGTTGTTGATAAATAATATAACAATTGTAGTCTTTGGTTGGGGTCAATACGATGTTATATCGACCTAAAGAAGCATATCGACCTCGGACTTCGTCCTCAGTCAATATGCTTTTCTTAGGTCGATATAACCTCGTATCGACCTCATACAAAGGCTATAATTGTATGATAATGCATGCATCACACAGGTAAATCCAAACTTAGTACAAAATTTGCCATGCGAATCCATACTCAGTCGAAATGTCACAATCGAAAATAGGACACAATCAGTAACATTGCAGATCATACGACTATTCTGGTGTATAAAGATCATACGACTATCCTGGTGTATAAAGATCATACGACTATTCTGGTGTATAAAGATCATACGACTATTCTGGTGTATAAAGATCATACGACTATCCTGGTGTATAAAGATCATACGACTATTCTGGTGTATAAAGATCATACGACTATTCTGGTGTATAAAGATCATACGACTATTCTGGTGTATAAAGATCATACGACTATTCTGGGATATAAAGATCATACGACTATTCTAGTGTATAAAGATCATAGTTACGACTATTCTGGTGTATAAAGATCATACGACTATTCTGGTGTATAAAGATCATACGACTATTCTGGTGTATAAAGATCATACGACTATTCTGGTGTATAAAGATCATACGACTATCCTGGTGTATAAAGATCATACGACTATTCTGGTGTATAAAGATCCAAAAGCGTGAAACATATGGCTAGTGAGTTGAGAAGACATCAATGTTTTGCCTAGTAATATCTATGATCGTTTTTTAGATGAAGCATACCACCAAGTGGTTTGTATTCAAATGGATTAAACTAGTTCCCTCTCATTGCAGATTTATTCCTCTCCTCTTATGAATTGCAATTGATCGAAATCTTAATAAAGATCCATACCAAAATGTGCGCTGTATGTGTTTCACTTAAACGGTTAACATCTATAAGTTATGAAATACGACTGAAATTTGAGTGCTTGATGAGAGTCTATATCTAATCATTAAAATATCACTTTATGATTTTACATAATTCAATAAAATTTAAAAGAAATTCAGTGCTAGATGTGGCTGTAAATTGTATTTTAAAACAAGTTGCAACCTGTACTTGTTGGTATTTTTTCAAATAGAGCAACGAAAAATATCACTCTCTTCGGCTAACGAGTTTTGATGATCCCTTTGATATCTTCCGTCATTTTTGTTTACATCACTAAAAGTAAGGAGGACGTGCGACATCAACTTTTCTCCTTTTCATGTATGGACGCATTTGCTCGGTTATTCATTCATTTTAGTCTTGTATTTTTAAATTTACAAGTTTGGAATCAGAAGATTTACAAAATCTTGGAACCAATATACTAGTAACCAAAATGCTTCGATTATCAATACTAAGAACTGTCCGACGGCATACGAATGAAGTTTTCGAAATCATGTACTTACAAATACCCAGTAGTAACGATGTACTGGATTGTTTAAGGGAAATTTCCTAGAGAACGAAGAGGGATCGATAAAATCGAGGTTAATAAAATGTTTGGATTTTTGTTTCGTTTTTTGTGAATTATATCTTAAACAAAACTCCAAAATCTGAATTGGTAGTAATACAATCATTTATTGTAAGTATGCATTAAAGAAGAAAGAAACGTATACTAAACAAATAACACAAACCAGTATATGTATATCAATGTTTTTTTTTCTCTTATTTCATACGGATTTTAATGCTGTTTGATCATTTGTTAACTGGATTACTTAGGACAATAACCCCAAGGCTATTATAAATCACTACATATTAGACCAATCTTGTCTATTCTTAAATTTTCAGGTTGAATGAACTTTAATTTTCTTTTCTCGCCAATTCTTTAATCTGATGTTTTTTTCCAGGCGTCAATTCCGTTAAAGCATGCACATGGCATCCTGATTGTTGACTTATTTGTTATGGAATTGGTTTTACAGCAAGTCAATAACACAGTGTTTAACAAAGTTTGGTGCACCATTGATTCCCATTATTTTGTGACAGTTAAATTAAAAACATAATTTAAAGTAATATAAATATGTCGCTTCACAAATTCCTATAACATTCAGTTTCTGTTGTTGTCTTTTATTCCATTATAGTATAAGGTTCATTTAACAAAATGCTGTCAAAATTGTAATCTGCCTTCCATAATACCTGACGCAGATCATTTCTAGTTGCAGCAACTACCAGTTTAACATTTTGTCATTCGGTTATCCACAAATAACGCTATTTAAATTCCCTTTAACTTTGAATTACGTAACGGATTACGTAGGGTTAATGTGGTCTCCTTAGATGAAAACCAATCGATATTTTTTTAAACTGGTTCTCATACAGGTATTATATAGTCAAGTGCCTTTGTGTACTCATTTTTATTTTACATGTTAGGAATGTGGTGTGGATAGACTATTGTTGATAGTCTCTGTGAAATATCTTTCAAACCTATTCAGTTTCGTGGCAGTTGATAATAAACAGTGTTAGTTAGGTAAAGAGAAATTCAATAAATAGAATGAGATACAATAATACTTCGGGGTCAATATGGAAATCGGAATCAAGTTTCGAAACCATTAATGACCGTCTTTCTGAGATCTTGGCATATTGTTAGAAACTTTATTGTTGAAGATTGATTGATTGATTGATTGGTGTTTAACGCCACTTCCAACAATATTGTGCTAGTTCGTGGCTGTCAGCTTTTTTGGTGGAGAAAGAACCACCGACCTTTTGTATGACATGTTTGTTGAGATCCATTTGTTGACATCTAGATGCATTTTGTTCTATTTTTGTTTGTTGTTGGATTGCCTCTATTGAACCATTTCATTTAGATGCATTTTGTTCTATTTTTTGTTTGTTGTTGGGTTGCCTCTATTGAACCATTTAATCATTTTCAATAAATCCAATCATCACTTTTTTAGTCGCACTTATAATTACCATATATATTGACTACTTTTGTACTGCCCGTAAGTAATCATTTTGACCAACTTGTATCTAAATATCATTTACTTGTACATGAAGATTCGTAATGTTTGATATCTTGTTAAATAGTAAAGGATTTCTTTGTTAGTGAATATCCGAATGATTGAAGTTATGTGTAGTGTTTATTCAGTATTTCAAATGCTAATACGATACCACACAGAGAGAGATTTATTTGATTTATATAAATGTACATGCAAGTATTTAATCGCCGAGCTACAACCCTTTCCGCTTAAGCAGCGTTCAGCCATCACCAATCAATCGATCAATTAATCAATCAAATATAGAAAGGTGTCAGAACGATATGTTTTTGTTAATGTTTTTTTAATCATCACATATTACTCAACTGTGTTTTTTCTTTTTTGTTATATCTTGATCGTGAGATTCTATTTGAACTTCACTCCCCCACCTGATGCTTGTACAGATTGTATGGTTGTCAATAATTTAAATTATTTTACACGGAAACATATCAACTTATGTGAATGTGCAGTTTTGCTTTATTTTCAGGTTTTGCCGTTTTCTATTTACAACTTGAAGCAGTGCATAATGAGGTTAACCTTCAAAACAAACGTTTCTATTGTTAAATGTATGTGATGTGATATAACTCATAGCATGAACAAACGAGGGACAATCAAGTCGTAAGTCGAAGACAAAAAACCCGACAAAACTAGGGCAAAACACAAAGGAGATAAAACAGTACATAGAAAACTACAGACTGAGCAACACCAAATTCCTTAGGAATCTCAGATGCCCAGGAGGGTAAGCAGATGTTGCTCCTCATGTGACATCAGTACACGTATACATGTAACCGATTCAGCATAACGGAAGAGTAGTTCGCATAATAACTAGTCTCACAAAACATGTTTAACCCCGCCGCATTTTTGCGCCTGTCTCAAGTCAGGAGCCTCTGGCCTTTGTTAGTCTTGTTTTTTTTTTTATTTTAGTTCATTTATATGTTTTGGAGTTTAGTATGACGTCCATTTTCACTGAACTAGTACACATTTTTATTTAGGGGCCAGCTGAGGCCCACCTCCGGGTGCGGGATATTTTCGCTCCATTGAAGACCCATTGGTGGCCTTCGGCTGTTATCTGCTCTTCGGTCGGGTTGTTGTATCTTTGACATGTTCCCCATTTCCATTCTCAATTTTAACTATTCCAAAAGTTGTTATCAGTAATAATAAAGGCTCATAATCACGGAAAATGCTTTGATTTTTCTGCCAGATCCACAGTCTGAAACTGAAATAATGTTTATACTTTTGATATCTCCATTGCTGGAATTTCTGGTAGGCAAAATAATGTTAACATGATAACAATTTATTAATAAATATATATAAACAACATAAACTGAATAACCAATCAAAACATACAAACAACGATGTTACCTATAGTCATAATATGACCCAAACGTTTCGGTACATTAAGATATTATCTCCTTGGAAACACTACATTTACAAAACATCTCTTGGTGAATAAATATAATTGTTTATTTTTGTGTTATACATAAGTATAATGATACAGTATTATAAATGTCATAACTATAATGTATACATTTATGAACCGTTAAGTTCAAGGCTAATAAAGAATTTGAATTTGGGTTTGTTTTTTGTTTTGTTTTTTTGTTTTTTTTTTTCATTTGTCGTTCGATTGGTCTTATGTAAATAAGGTATGTGGTTTATTGCTGCAATGAGCTTAAATTCAGTAATATATTACTAAATATTAAATCTGGACCATTTTTTTGTTCTTCACTGTTATAAACAGCAAGGAAAATGAAGTTTGTTTTTTTTTTTTTAATTTTATTTCTCTCATGGACTTTCATAGTTTCTTATTGTCCACCTTCTTTATTTCTAAGACTTTGTCTATTCCGGGTATTTTGCATTACAAAACCGTATTCGAACGACTCATACATTTGTAGCATATAAAATAACACTTTAATAAATTTAGAAGCCATTGATGTATAAATGATATTCATAAAAGTAATTTAAAAAGTTTTTTCTTAGTTAAAGAAGCCTGTTCACTAAAAAAAGAATAATAATTCACGCAGAGAAATATTTATGTATCGGACGTTTTAGACCTGAACTGTACGCGTAATTCTATTGAAATTGAAACGACTTGTTTTACATAAGAAATGCATTGTATCGTATAATGGAGACGCAAACATGATTTAAAAAAAACATCTCAAAACCCCAGTTATGATATCCTTTAGGTTTAACATGGATTGTATCGACATTTAAAATATATCTTTCGATGAGATGAACTAAACAATGTTGTTTGAAAATCAATGTCAACAGTTGTAATTCAGTTCATTCATTTAGTAAGGGAGGTCATACCAATACTAAGTCGTTCTATTAATTGCACTTTTAAACCACAGCTTTTGTTTTTGTGTATTTAGACCTAAATACACTAAGCATTCATGTCTCTTCTGATTCAACAGCATTTTCAAAATGGTGAGACCTTTCATACGATCCAGCCTTGCTAATTTTTGTATTGACGTATGACCCTCCTGAATACGATAAACTGCTGCATTTTTGTCGATAAATCCTTTGACGTCTTAAACAGCGGAAAGCAGAAAAAAATCCTTGTCTGAAGTTACGATTCATGAAGCAATACGTAATAGGATTACAGCACGTGCTCACATAGGCAAGTAGATGAAACGCAGATGACAGTTCGTTGGTGACGTAGAGTCCCGCAGAACTTTCGTCTATAATAACCCAGGATTGGATTATGAACATAGGTGTCCAGCATACAAAGAACTCAAAGACAACTGCAAACAACATTTTGATGACCCTTTTCTTCGACGCCCTACTTCTTTCACTGTTCGATTGTCGCATTCCACGTTGGAGATCGTACCGACCTTTAGGCTTCGCTATCGGAACTACGTCTGGTTTTTTGCAAGATCCATTTTGTGATCCACTGGTTGATTCTAATAATAAAAATAATCATCATGATAATAAACTATTATATCTGAGTTGCCCTTATTCTACTGTGGTTAAAATAAATCTTAAATTTAGAAAGGCTGACAAATTGCTGTCCTACTGAAGAACACCCAACTTTTGTTTTCATTCATAGAAACAGATACATGTACACACAAGAAAAATGAAGGATTATATACAAATTGATATGTTCAACTACGGTTATATCAAGTTCGTGATTAAAATAACAAGAATATAAAATGACTGTGAAATATTTGTATTTCTAATTTACTGACATTTTGACTAACTATATTTCTTTAGTTCATTAAAAAGCAACATTGTTTTCATGTTATAAATTTAAAAAAAAATTAAAAAGAAACGTATTTGATTAAGATCATAAATTCGAAAAAAATGTCTAAATACAAGATTAGGTAGGTTACTTGGACACGAATACAAAATTGCTCGCAGGCAAAACTGAAATAAAATCTCCATTGTTTAGATGGTCAACCAATTAAAACGTTTCGGTTAATGTACAAATAAGAGGACGTAAATTAATATAGTCTGTTGTCGCATGTCCGAAGGCAGGATCCTATTAATTAGTGGTTGCTGTCTGCCTTATTTGTTCCATTTATTTTTTCAAGCATACTTCACACCGTTAATTGGGTCTCTCTTTTGAACTTTTTTAAATAGTCTTATGCCCGAGCCTGTTATAATAGCGTACTATACGGTGTAGAATTTATTCATTGTTGAAGACCGTATAGTATCATTAGTTGTTTAAATCCTTGTCCGTTGGTATGTGGTGGATACTTGTCTCATTGGCAAACATACTACGTCTCTTTTTTTTTTTACATGTATGCCCCACTAAAAATGATGTAATTCGATCATCAAAATTACTTGACCTATTCTATTATTAAGGAAAGTGATGTATAGCGGGGCTGCATTGAGAAAAAAAATATAAAAAAAATAGATAACACTAATTAATGAACAGAAAATGTAGTACCTAATTCATTCTGTGTGTCCATTTTCATTCCAATCCATAACGTTACGGCTATTAACATGTAAGCAACTGTCATGGTGATAACGGGTCCAACAAGAAGTAATATGACCAGTGCTATTGTGTAACCGGTCTCAAAGAAAGTGTTGTCCCATTCTTCCCGACACATACTGTTTCCGTAAATTAAAGGTATGTGCTTATTGTGTATAGCTGACGGTATCATCACTATAAACGATAAGATCCAACATATTCCGAGAATCTTGTACGAGTGTGACAGAGTCTGCCATTTTCGGGAATGTAGGGGTCTACAGATTGCGAAATATCTCTCTAAGGATATAGTTACTAAAGTAAAGCAGCCAACACAGAAGAAAACACCTGAAAATAAATTATGTGTTTCATTAGAAATATTGTCATCAATTTATAAACCAACTTATAGACAAAATATGTATTGTTCCGACAACAGGAACTGACCAATCATATTTTCTAGCATTGTATGTTCATGAATACATGTAGTTACTCGTTAAAATCACACAAAGTGTACATTACAATATTCAACAGTCATATGCAAATTAAAAAAAAGTAAAGAAGTTGATGTGTGTTAAAAATGACTAGGATGCTTTTACACCTTTTAAAGTATAGTTTCTTTTATTTGCATTCAGTCTGTATAGTTGCAATTTGTATAAATTATATGTGCGGACAAAATGGTTTACTTATTTATCATTGAAAGGGGACAGAATAAAATTATCAAATGCAAACGAATTTATATACAACTGTAAGGTCAAATGTTCTTTAACCGAGAATAACAAACAAAACACTTGTTTGTGATGTTGAATCAGAAAGTATTTCTAAAACAAGATAAATGTAGGTAGACGTGTTATTATTGCCAATGAGACAACTATTCATCAAAACCATAATGACAAGAAGATCCAGTTATAAATATTTGTTTCTATAAATAAATAATTCTAATGTACACTTGATGCAAAACTGCACGATCGTCCATGCATTAATTTAGCATTTATGATTTGTAAACTGTTGCAGTAAGCGAAGTCATACAGTGCCAGACTTTATGTCCTCGGTTGACAAGGCAGAAATTGCAGTTACTGTCACGTGATGTGCTTCGTAATGATACTGTTACGTGAACATTGATTGCTCAAGTGTAATGTTTAGGACGTCAAGACGATGTTCATGGATATATAAATTCAAATTGGTTTAATGCATTTGTAATATTTCACTTGTAATCTTAAGAAATAATAAATTGTAAATGACATTTTAAAACATGCATCATGAAAAAGGAAGGAGTTGAAATTCCCAAGAGTGCGATACAAAAAGGTTATGTAGAAAAAGGCGAAAAACATCATAACCAAATAAAAAATGACAAAAGACACTTACATCCGCCTATAATAATTCAGTGTATGTAGTTGGTTGCTGTCTACCAGGTTTTCGGTAGTTGTTTTTATCATAAACTAGACAATTGTAACAGTTGTTATCTTTCAAATGTCGTCACATGTTGTCATGCCGGGACCATTCTTAGCTAACTTCATGGTAGGGGGTTTACATAAAGGCCATACAGTGTCTTATACCTGAAGGTCGAACATTGTCTTATACCTGAAGGTCGTACAGTGGCCTATACCTGAAGGATGTACAGTGTCTTATACCTGAAGGTCGTACAGTGTCTTATACCTGAAGGTCGTACAGTATCTTATACCTGAAGGTCGTACAGTGTCTTATACCTGAAGGTCGTACAGTGTCTTATACCTGAAGGTCATACAGTGGCCTATAATACCTGAAGGTCGTACAGTGTCTTATACCTGAAGGTCGTACAGTGGCCTATAGTTGTTTACATACTCAGTATGATTGATAGTTGTCTTATAGACAATCATACAATTTCTCCTTATTTTCATGATTTACTGTTTAGCGATTATTATATATTGAGACTTTTTATGGTTCGATTCCTTAGAGACTATGGCATGATTGTTGTCGAAACGGTTTCTATAACCATTTTATTTTCAAAGTGGAATACTCACGATCATAATGTTCCTAGGGGAAACAATTACTGGCCGATTACTTCATTTGGGTTCAAGTCAGAAAAAACATCTCAAGAAGGCTGTTGACTTAGCAAATTTAATGCAAACTCCTTAGACCTACTTGAAAACACAAATAGGTAATTAAATTTGCACGGTTTATTCCTTGGATGTTCAGAAGTGTTAACAAGTGACTTTATGGCAACATAGTTGAAGGCATTTTACCTTGACATCAATATAAGCGATAAATAAAAAACCTATATTTGTGTACTAGTTTTTAGCAGACTTCATCAGATTGTGTTGATAACATTTAAATATGAAACGTACTTATTCTATTCTGTCCGATAGATATTCTTGGTAAAGTCAATTTTAATAGTAAATGATTGTTATGATTTTTTTATCCCTTTTATTCATGATTTATTATTGACCAGTACTAGATTACGATATCGAACTAATCAAATATTTATCAGAACATGAAAAGTTAAAAAATAGTTTTGAAATATTAGTTCCGATCAATTTTTTGTTTGGCGAGTTTTGATTACTTAATTGTGTGAGTTTTATCCTAATAATGTCTTTAAGGATTACACACAAAGGTGAACAATGAAAGATTATTGAACATTGAACAGTAAAAAAATACCATAGAAACATTATGATCGTGAGTATTCCACTTTGAAAATAAAATGGTTATAGAAACCGTTTCGACAACAATCATACCATAGTCTCTAAGGAATCGAACCATACAAAATCTCAATATATAATAATCGGTAAATTATGATTTGTTTGAAATTAAATAGTTATATATTCATCATTGATTACACGATTGATATCAATTGTTACAGAGTATTAGATACAATGCAAATAACAATTTAACAAAGTATAAACAACTGAAAGAAATACGTTAAATCGGTTCCCACTTCTTCAATAGCAACCGATTTCTAATAAAACAGATAAACAAAGCTGAAATAATGAGATAAGTTATTGTAGAAACCTGTTGTCGATATATGTGATTGCTTTACAAGAAATAAACAACATATTACGATGGCAAGAAAAACGAATATACCCACAAAACTGAACACCAAAGAAGTTTAGGGTACGACCAGTTGATATTCTGGGGGAGGATTTTTCAGGATTTATCATTTATTTTCATCTGTTGCTAGGGGAAAATGATGTGTTTACAGACTAGACACCTTAAAGAACTAAGACTGCTACTCGAAATAGAAAAATAATATATATTAAAGAATTATGAATTTGAATATTGATGCAGTTACAGGTTGCAGCAAAACAAGCCAAAGGTACATTTGCAGTTATCATGCACATTTTAATATCACACCTGAGATCACCCCCGGTTTTTGATGCGGTTCGTGTTGCTTAGTTTTTAGTTTTCTATGCTGTGTTTTGTGTGTTGTTTGTCTTTTGGTATTTTTCCTTTTTTGCCGTTGCGTTGTCAGTTTATTTTCGAATTATGAGTTTGAATGTCCCTCCCTTTGGTATTCCCCCCCCCCCTATTTTTGTGGATTTACACATGTAGCTAAAACTAAGACCACAAATAATTGTTGAATGAGGCCGTAGGTAATGCTGATAGTCTGTATTAATGACCGGTATTTGTATACACAAGAAAGAATTCTATGCTATCGCATCAGTTAATGAAAGTACATTGTAACAATTACATTAATAGCTTTTACGACAACATCGTTTTATCACAGGTATAATGCATAGTAACACATCACTTCTGTTGACAAAGGATTGTTCGCAATGATATTATTTTCTGCGTATTCATATTCAAAGGATGATGACATCATCTATTTCTCGATAAATAGGGAAGACCAATTTCCCTTCTTTTGTTTCACTAACAGGGTCAAAATATAAAAACTGAAAATTGCATTGCAAAGAGTCTATATCATAAATACATCCATATAGTTTCACTGTTTTACATATTTCCATGAATCTTCATGTTGCCGATCAAGGTATTTTCATATAAGTTTAATTTGTTTTGCCAAATCTTAAATAGGTTAAAATTGAAAATCTGGCTAAATTCAGGCGTTTATAATTTGTTGATCAACTGTTTAAATAAAAAGTATACATATTAGACTGTGATACTCTGAATTTAAGTAAAGATTGAAAATGGTCCTTTGACAGGAGGTTGTCGTTAGTTCATGTCTGTCATATTTGTTTTTCGTAAATTGTTTTGTTATAAATTAGGCCGTTAGTTTTCTCAATTGAATTGTTTCATATTTTTCATGCCGGGGCCTTTTATAGCCGACTATACGGTATGGGTTTTTCTCATTGTTGAAGGTCGTACGGTTGCCTATAATTGCTTACATCCACTTTTTTTTAACTTTGGTGGATAGTTGCCTCATTGGCAATCATACCTCATCTCCTTATTTTTATACTGGTGTGACAAAAATTCAGCGGAAATTCTTCATTACACATTACACAGGCTTTCAATAACAAGATTTCTAGAAAACAGTTGTATCTACATGTATGCACCTTTTATACACTTAGAAAAGCAAAAGGTGTGTGAAAATTATTGGTGTAGCAAGCTCGGGATTACAAAAACGTATGCGAAAGGTCATTTCCGTAATATTTTGCAAAAGTTTAATATTTTAGCTCGGTTTGCCCCAGACAATTTCTTTTTTGAAATCATTGAACCCATAAACAAAGAGGTATTCGTCTATTTATAAAAGCGTCTAAAAGATACTGCTATTACATAAACATGAATCGTCCTGAATACGCATGAAATATTTGCCACTGGACGTTAAGCAACCAACAATCAATCAATCATAAACATGAAATATCTAAAAATCTGAGAAAAATATAGGAATAATTATAATCAGTGCTTTGCAATATATAATGGAAAGACAGTATTCTTTGACCAGTTTATAAATGTATTCAATCGGCGTTCGACTTTCTTTATTTAGAGCTAAATCAATTGAATAATTATATTTATATGGTAAAATGATTATATTAATATAATTCAATATAAAGAAGTGTTAGTGGAATTAGTTTTATCGTGTCTCCTATACACTTTTATGAATATCATTGGTTAAAAGTGGACACGTGGGAACCGTGTATATTTAATATTAGGTCAGTGGGTGTGTTTTATTTCACACAAAGTTCCATGTGATGAATGCATAAGTTCTTTAATTGAAAATTTAACTGAGTATGATCATGGCATATTGCAATATTTATGCCCCCGCTGTAGCGGGGGGGGGGGGGGGGAGGAATTAAGTTTTACCCTTGTCCGTCTGTACGTACGTACGTCCGTACGTCCCAAAATTGGTTTCCGTTCTCTAACTTGAGTTTGCCTCAACCAAATGTTATGAAACTTATACACAATGCTTATTACCACAAAAC